TGGGAGGGAGTATTCGATCTGACTGTGATGATGTATAACCAAGTGTTTTAAAAATATTTTAACTGTGTAAGTGTACGATATGTGCATTTTATGTCAATAAATCTATTTAAAATGAAATTAAAAATTAAGCAAATTAAAATCTAATTTTAAAAACCTATTTGGAAAATAATATAGCTCTAAAAATTACTTTGCCAATTTTCTGAAAATGCATCAGCCTTGCTTATGCGTTTAGTATCAGGCAATGGACTATTTCTTAAACTGAGAGTCTTATCGTGGAGCTTAATAAGCGTATATTTAGCTGGTGTCTTGAAGTTTGTTTGGTTATCTTAGACTACAGTTACATGTATGCTTTTGCCATAAATAGCTTCAATTGACTGGTTAAACATTGCATGTTCATTCTTGCTATCCTTATAGCATTTTCTGTTGTCTTTCCTTTTAATAATTAATTTTTTTTTTCATTTTGGAAAGATGTGCTATTGAGTATTACATGTATACTTGAGTATAAGCCGACTCAAATATCAGCCGAGGCACCTAATTTTACCATAAAAACTGCATAAAAAATGTGCTGAAAAACTCGGCTTATTCATGAGTACATATGGTATGTAATAAAGCCCAATAACAAAGCACAATTACCAAACATATATAATTGTAATGTAATGAAAGGTCATGGAATACAAAATCAAAATAATTGTTTTGATTTAGAATTAGAGACATTATGTACATTACCTGTTTCGTGTGATTTTTATTTGATTATAGGACTTTCAATTTGAGGAGCACCTGGTTTGTGAAAACTAATTGAGAGTGTTCTCTGCCCTTGAAATCTCTCCCTTCTTTCTTTTCTGCTTGCTTTACTAATGATTTCCCTGCCCTCTCCCAAAACGTCTGTTTTAATTCTCCCATTTTGGGTTTTAGTTGATGTATATGAATTGTGAATCCAGGTGAAAGCCTTTATGTTCCAGAACACCATTCAGGGAAAACTCATCCAGAGGGCCAGAGCAGTGGGACATGTGTCAAGGTGTCTAGAGTTTGTGGAAGCCTTACAAATTCAGGAGTCAGGTTACTGCAACTGAGTTGTATAGTCTTATGCTTAAAATATAATACTGGTAACTCGATTAGGGAAATGTGTTCATAGTCTAGAGTAGATAATAGATAAAAATAGTACTTCAGAGTTAAAACTTTAATTCTTCGTAGCAAAATTTCACATGGAGGCATTTTCAAATCCATATTTCACAGGTAAGTTAATATCAACTTCTTTTTTCTTGCTCCAATATGATGCATAAACCCAAAATCAAACTCACTGCCATTGAGTTGACTGCAACTCATATGGACCCTAAAGGATAGACTAGAATTTTCCCTGTGGGTTTTCGAGGTGATAACTCTTTATGGGAGTAGAAAGACTAGTCTTTCTCCCGTGGAGCAGATGATGGTTTTGAACTAACATTGAGGTTAGCAGCCCAAGATACAACCACTACACCACTAGGGCTCCTTAATATGATGCATACAAGTCAGTCATCACAGCAGTAATCTGAGTGTGGTGGTCCAGGGAGGGATTCACACAGTGTAGCGAAGAATATGTGTACACTGTCCTTCTCTCAAACTCTCCCCACCCACCACCAATTCTGATATTCTCTTAGGGAAATATTCAGTGTTCATCTTACCTTTATAATCAGTCTTTTAAAAATATTGTTTTCCTTATAATCCTAGACATTTCCTGATCACAATTCTTCTACCAGTGGAGATTCAGTTTTAGTGTATGCCATACAAAGAAAAATAAAAGCATCCTTGATCCAGACATTGTACGATGTAAAGCTACACTGCCTTGTGTCTGATTTGGATACTTGTCCTTTGCAGCTAACTGTCTTCCTCCTAATTCAACTATTAGAGTCACCGTCCTAAGGAAATCAGGGGTAATAGAAATTGGTTTCTTTATGTTAACCAGATTTGTGCAATTATCCTTGTACTTAGTTCATTATGTCTTTTATTAGTCTTATTTAGCTCTGCAGTAAAGTCCTTATATCTGTGGATTCTTTTGATAGTTGTTATCTGAATATTTTAAATAAAAGGCAGATCATTTACCCTTTACAAGGGTAAGTGTTGAAATATTGCTAAAAAATTGTAGGAAACTTTATTAAATAAAAAGATCAATGAGTGAAGCTGTTTTTTTCTCACCATAGCCTCCAACTAGGTCTGTATACTTCCAAAGGTGGTATTTTCATCTCTCGGTTCTTCCTTGAACATTTCTGGGCTCTTTGTTTTACAGCAAATCAAAATGGCAGTTTGGGCATCCTCCAGGGACGCAAATTGTGTCCCTTTTGAACATGAGTTTGAGGAACATAAATAATTCTTGAGGGGCACGATCAGAGTTGTAGGGTGGATGGAGTAAGTCTTCCCAATTAAATTCTCATAGGATCACCTTTCCTACCCTTGGAGAAGGAGTAGGTACATTGTCCTGATGAAAAAAATCCTTGGTGAAACTCTTCGCCCTTCTCCTCACCAATCATTTTCAGTTTTCTTAAAACTTCTTCCTCATAAGCCTATTAGGATTGTTCTGTGTCCCTCAAGAAAAATCTATCCAGGTTACCCCTTTTGAATCCCCAAACAGTCACTGCCACCTTCTAAGTTGACCTTTCTGCCTTAAATGTAACTACCACAGCAGACCCCCTCGGAAGCCACTGTTGGATTGGGCGTGTTTCTCAGAGGGCACCCAAATCAGACAAAGTTGTGTAGACTCTACAAATGGATTTTAGGCTTCAATTGTCTGTTCACAATTTAAGCTCTGATGTTACTCCCTCCTTTAGATTTGGAGTATATTGTTTACAACCCTTGGATCACACAGGCTGGTGTGTTTCTTCCATGTGGACTTAGTTGATGCCTCACTTAGATGCCTGCATGTTTGCAAACAAGTCTTTAAGACCCGAGATGCTCTTCTTTCTTCACCACACTGCTGTTTCGCCCATATTTGCAGTGATCCTTTTATGAGGATAAGCATCAAGCAAGGTCATGTCATATGCACTCATTGTGGAAGTCCAAAATCCATTCATGTAGCTATGGTTTATATATGTCTCTAGTTCACCTTAGAGATAGCATCGTCATTTTATGTTAGGGAACATTATCAGTCATCCCCCAGAGGCATCTCTCCCACTGCCATCAAGTCAGTGCCAACTTACAGAGACTCTGTGGGAAGGATAGAACCACCCCATGAATCTCTTAGCCTACAAATCTTCATAGGAGTGGAGAGCTTAATCCTTCCCCCAAGGAGCTGACTGGTGGTTTTGAACTGCTAACCTTTCAGTTAGCAGCCCAATGTGTAATCACTTTGCTTCGATAGTATCATTAGTTTAGCCATTGGTATGGAATTTGAAACATTGTCAAGAAAAGGAACTTACACAAATATTGGACAGCTATGAACCCCAATACAGGAATCGTTGACTTGTACAGATTAAACACTTAAGTGACTGGGCACTACATGAGCAACAGGTTGGTGATAGGGCAAATCTTCCAATAATATTCACTCACAGCAGCAGAGCCATGCTTACCAAATGAATACATCTCAAAATGAAGCAAGGAGGGCATTAAAATAGTACCTGTATGGTATTTCTGGGACACCATTCATTGGGCACCCTTAAATAACAATATTTTTATTCATCTTCATATATTAATGAACTTTAAAATAGAAAATCAATACTGAATGAATAATAAATGTTATTTATGCAAATAAAGAAAATACTTAATCCATAATTTTTTTACTTTGAAGTCAATATATACAGTCATATAAAATTAACAAACAGCTCTCTTTTTTTTCGAGGATTAAAAGTTTTATTAAGCAAAAATATCAAAATGTGAAGCTACTGTTTCTTAATACTTTTATTGACATAATTTACATAGCACACAACTCAATGGTTTAATCATAGTAAGCAATTATCCTCACAATTTTAGAACATTTTCTTCTTTTTTGTACTCATTATTATTCATTCCCTATTTTCCCCTAACCTCTTCTGCCATAACCCTAAGAAACTGTTCATTCAATTACTGTCTCTGTAGATTTACCTATCCTGGATTTCATATACAGAAAACATACCCAAAACAACAAAAACTACAAAAACGCAGAAAATAGTAAAAACTCAAATAAAACAAACTCCCTGCCCTCAGGTCAGTGATGATTCATAGCAAACTTATAGTAGTTACCCCTTGAGCTGCATAAGCAGGGTTCACATTTTGAACCTCTAGCCACTCTGCAGGAGAAAGATGGGACTTTCCCCTCCTGTAAACAGTTAGGGTCTCAGAAACTCGCAGGGGCAGAGGGCCGCTATGTGTATATATTAAATACTAGAACAAATTTAAAATGGGTCAAATGGAAGTACAAGTCATAAGGTGTTAAGTTTTAGCCTAATTACATCTGCATTAATCCACTTTATAATCAGCACTCTGATAGCAAAACTCAAACAGCTTTCTCTTACACTGGTTTGTTTTCCTTCTTTTGGTTCCTCTAAATATAAACCAAAAATATTTACTATAAGTTTTACAAGCTTGAGTGTGTTTGTTTTAATAATTGAACTTTAACCCTGGTTTTGCAATGAAAATCAAAGTTTATTATTTGGTCTTAGTGAAATGATTATTATTTTATTGTAATATCTGCATACCTCATACCATGTAATGGGGAAATTAAATTAATCATGATGTTACCCAAAACATCTTTTATCTTTTTATCCTCTGTCTCAACCAGAGTTTACATCTGCAAAATTTTAGTAAAGATTATAAAAGAAGATACGTGGAATAATTGAGGAGCTTTATTCCTTTTAAGAATTCATTGTGCTTATGGGCATCTTATCTAACTAATATTTAAATCTTGTTTTCTAGCATAGACTTTCATGGGCCAGATGCAGTTATTTTATTATTATTGTTAAGATATTATATCGCTTGTGTTGTATTGTGCATTTTCACATGCTGTACATAGACGCTCTTAAATATATATTTAAATTAATGTGTTGATTTATTTCTAGGATTCTTAGTCATTCAACTTCTGTCACAAGAAACAAGCCAAAACAAACTGTGGATGGCGACAAAAGGTATGAAAGGTCTTAGTCCTTGTGTTTAGTATTTACAATAAAACTTGATCATCAGTGAAAGAAAGATTTAACTTTAAACAATAATGTCATTTTAATGTGACCATATTATTTAAAGAGGAAATGTGCTGCAGCACAAGTTAAATTTTTTTAAAATCTAAACAACATTAAAAATGTTTTCAGATACTTCAATTGATTGATTGTGTGTGTATGTGGGTGTGTGCAGACCTATAGGTTGTCTTGATGACAGGATCCTTCTATCATTTCAGCATATATTTGTTTTTTTTTAACTGCCTGGAATTAGGCTTTTCTTCATTATCAAATATGCTTATTCTCCATGCTGCTGTTCATATTTTTAATTTCTTTTAATTTGGTTTTTACTGAATTCTTTTATATGAATATGTGGTCAAAGTTCACTTATAGGAATTCTAGAAGAGTCATAGGAACCTTTTAAAGTTTCTACTTAATTTTTTTGGTGAGTTTTAAATTTTGCATTAGGCTCTACTCTGGAGTCAGTACTTTGGGTTATAGAGCTTCCAGGCTTGAGAAATACCAGAGGGAGGATTAACATTTGTTTAATGGGCGTTACATGTGAACTTCTGAGTGCTTTGGATTATTGTTTCACTGAGTTCTGTAAAGAGACGTTTGCATTTTACATTATTTCATTTGCACTTTTTTCATCTTTATCTCAGCCCATTGAAAGGACTTTGTTGAGTTCCCTATCAGATAGTTCCAATGTCATTTCTTACTCAGAAAGCCTTTCTTACCTTGTTGGTCAGTCACTGATTTGAGCCACTTTGTCTTGTTTCTTCTTGTGAATTTAAATTGTCTGTTGTCTCTGAGACATGGTGTTTCTGTGTGTGTCTGTAATTGATCATTTATACTGGTGTGCTCTTAGGCACTCCGCACCTGTGGGCCGTATCGAATGTGTGTGTTCAGTTCTCTGTTCACTGTTCCTTCCTGTAGCACAGTTAAGAGCAGGTCTGGCTGGTATTGGCCACTGCCTGTCATGGATCAGGTGGCACAGGATGAGGCTGCAGGAGCAATGGGTACAGCTGAGCCAAGTAGCTATCTTGGCTGTCTTCTGTTAGAGGCGACAAGTGGGGGGGGGTGTAAAAGGAAAGGGGGAAAATAAGAAAAAGCAAAAATAGAGGAAAAAGGCAAGCATGGGAAAACTGGCAAACAGTAAAGTGAAGAATTTAGGAACTAAAAAGGAAAAAGAAATGAAAATAAATATAAGGGAAGAGGGACAAAAGAAAGAAACAGATGGGAAGAGAGAAAGGAAAGAAACCGATAGAGAAACAAGGAAATAAAGAAGGGTGGAGGTAAAAGAAAAGAAAGAGAAGAAAGGAAAAGGAAAGGCGGAGAACGGATAAAAGAACAAGGGAAGGGAAGGGAAAAAGGGGTGGGGGTGGGGGGGGTGGTGGATACCTAAAGCAAACCAAGAAGAAAACTGAGAGAGGCTCAAGGGTATGGGAAGAAGGGAGAAGGAGTCCTTACCTCTTAGTTGGTGTCTGGGGTCTGAGCACCTGATCAAAAGTAGTTTGTGCCTGCTCAGAGTGTGACAGAGGTCAGGGTGCATGTTCCTGGAAGGGACTCTTTTGTGCCCAGGGAGAAGCGGGACAGGTAGCTTGTTCTGGAAATAATTCTTTCCTGCCCGGGATTTGCCAATGATAGGCCATTCATTTGGCACTGAGCATTCTACTGGTCTGATGAGGCCGTGTTTACATGCCTCCAGATGTAGAGCTGGTGCACCTAGTGTCCCATCCATGAAGGTGAGGTTCCAACGTCAGGCAGATCACTGGCTGTGCAAGATGGTGGGTGTCACCAGCTGCTGGGTCGGTGAGAATGTGAGCTGGTCATGCTTCTGGCCACCAAGAGGGTGTCAGGAACAAAGGGAGCAGCTCACTTTTCTGATCACCAGCCTCTACTTTGGGAACCTGTGCTGTCAGGTTGCTACCTTGACTGAATGCTACTTGCAAAAGTTCAAGATGGCCCTGCTGTGTCAGGCCAGCTGACAATTAATTTACGTATTCATTTTGTCGGTCTGCTTCCTCACTGCTTCTGCTCAGTTTTCTCCTCCATTTAGTATTGAATCCACTCCTCTGTCTGTTCCTCTGAAACTCAGAATTCAACGATTGGCATGTATGTCTATTTCACTTGGTCTCGCGAGTCTGTTGTAGAGGGTCCAGGTAGCATGTCTAGCTAGTCTGCCATCTTGCCAGAAGTCACTCACTTAATCCTCACAATAACCTAGTGCTGGTGTGGCTGTTGTTTTCTCCAGCATATGGATGCTCAAACTGCGAAACAGGCTGATCTCATAACTTACTGAATACTGTACCACACACATAACAGTAAGTGGTAGAGCCAGGATTCAAACGATCTGGCTTAAGAACCACAAGTCTATCTATCCCGTGCTAACAAGAACACTTTGCTTCCTCTAGATCCATACATCCCACTGAGCATCTACTCCTAGATTCTCTACAGTCCAAACTGTACTTATTTTTTACCCCAAACTGACATCTCCTATATACCCAGAGTGACTGTGTTACTATATCAGTGTTTCCCATAGTGGGTAATAACACCCTCGACTGGAATGCTGGAACGATCCAGGGTGGCTACAAAAGCAAATGCCTACACTTTATCCTAGTTGTGAGCTTCAGAAAAAAAGTTTTCCCTTGCCAAGGGAGTGCTGAGTAATTTATCATCTGAAAAGGGGAGCAGTAGGCCAAATATATTTGGAAATCTTATATGGTCACCTAAATCAGCTACTTTAGGATCCTTAGACTCTGTTCTCTCTCATACATCCCTCCCAATCCTGTCAATTACAAAAAAAATGTATAGCTTCTTAATACTTTTATCTATCTACCCTGACTCTCTATCCCTATTTCAGTTGTTTTGGTTCAAGCCCTCTAGCCATACTCTTCCCACCCCAGATTAATTCAGAAGCCCTCAAACATGTTTACCTGCTGTCATATATATCTTCCATCAGAGTGACATAAAGCACAAATCTTTCTGTGGTAGCTGTTCTCTAAAACTTTTAGGGTAAAGCTTTAAATGTTTTGTCTAAGCCATAATGCTATAGTAAATTTCTGTCTCCCTCAAGAACAGTATCTAATGCCATTCCCCACTGACAGCCTTTGTAGGTAGGAACACTGCTTCTTTCTTCAGGTCAGTGTGGTTTTTTTTTATCTCTGGTCCATGCTGACCTCTCTACTGGGATTCCTTTCCCGTCCCTTTCTCCGTTTAGTATTTCAGAATGTAGTTCATGCACGAGATGACATTGCATGGCAGAGTCTAGGAACATTCATCTCTCTCCAATGTTATTTAATTGGATTTGAATATGCAGTCTCATTTGAATACTGATTCTGTTGTATTGCGTATTTGTTCCTGATTGTTTTCTGTTACTGATGTTCTCCTGAAGTTCCTTTCGTTTCCCCTTAAGCATCCTCTCAGGGTACCTAACTTTCCCTTGAGAAATCCTCAACCATCCAAACCTCAAAACCGTGGCCTGCGTTTCCAGACTGTCTTCTGCACTTCTGATCTTCAAAAGTTGAACCCAATTCTTTCCATAAAACAAAACAAGTCCTTTTTCTTTATTCCCGATTAAAAGAGTAATATAATTTTATTGTTGAAGAATTAGAAAATTCAACAAAAATAAAGAAAAAACTAACAAACCATTACCCATTATTTCATTCCTCAGAGATGATGAACCTTAGAATTTGGAATATTTTCTTGCAGACCATTTTTCTCTATATGTGCATAAAAATTTGCATGTACATATATTTATGTGTGCAGCTTCATATACATTCAATATGCTCTCAACACTTCCAATTGGATGTCTAATAGGAATTCCAAACTTAACTGTCCAAAAGGAATCTCTTTATCACACTCCTAACGCCCTTAAACCTATTCTTTCTACTTTCTTTCCCATTTTAGAGAAAGTGAATTCCTACTTGTTGCTCAGCTCAGCCACTTTACAGTAATCCTAAACTGATTACTTTCTTTGGAACACCTTATCTAACTTATTAGCAAATCTTATTTACCTTTGAAATATATCCAGACTTTGAACACCTCTCAACACCTCCACTTATACCACCCTATTGTTGTTATTGTTAGGTACCAGCAAGTTGTATGTACAACTGAATAAAACATACCCGATTCCAAGCCATCCTCAACCTCACAATTGTTGTAGCCCCTGTCGAGAGTCTTCCTTTTTTTCACTGCCCTTGACCAAGCATGATGTTCTTGTCCAGCGAGTGCGCTCTCCAGACAACTTGTCCAAAGTATGTGAGACAAAATCTTGCAATCCATGCTTCTAAGGAATCTTCTGGCTGACTTCTTCCAAGCCATGGTTGTTTCTTCCTTTGGACGTCCATGGTACTTTCAATAGTCTTTACCAGCACTGTAATTCAAATGCATTGATTCTTCTTTGGTCTTCCCTAGTTAATGTCCAACTTTCACTTGTATATGGGGGCCATTGAAAATCCCTTGGCTTGAGACCAGGTGCATCTTAGTCCTAAAGTAACATCCTTGCTTTTCAATACTTTGAAGAGATCTTGTGTAGTGAATTTGCCCAATGTTCTTTGAAGTGGACAACCTTTCAACCTCATTTATGCCATCTATAAAACATGAATAATAGTATCTACTTCAGGTAGGTTAATATAAGCTTAAAATAGTATTTATTGCCAAATAGAGATAGTTTCATATATATAGTTAGTTGTTGGAGCATTATTTTAATAAACTTTCTTTCTACACTTCTGTTTTCTTTTTTAAACGTACTTAATTAATTATTTAAAAAATTTTGTTTCCTTCCGTTTTCTTATCTCTCTTCTCAGTCCTTTTTTCAGGTCTCAGCCTCTTCTTTATTCAAAAGAGAAATAGCTCTGTAGGCATTTCCCCTCCTCACATTAAAAAAAAAAGATTTCACTGGCACCTAATCTTTTAAATAGAGGAAATCATAATATAAAGAACACCTGTTTTTGTGAGGCAGATGTGGAGAA